GTGAGTTACAGTGAAATGTCAATCGAGTTACAGTGATATGTCAAGTGAGTTGCAGTCAGATGTCAAGTGAGTCACAGTCAGATGTCAAGTGAGTCAAAGTTGGATGTCAAGTGAGTTACAGTGAAATGTCAATCGAGTTACAGTGATATGTCAAGTGAGTTACAGTGATATGTGTCATGTGAGTTACATTGAGATGTCAAGTGAGTTACAGTGATATGTGTCATGTGAGTTACAGTGATATGTCAAGTGAGTTACAGTCAGATGTCAAGTGAGTTACAGTCAGATGTATGACGCAGGTTCGCAGGTTGTTTTTCCTGTGGTAAATTTATTTTATGGTTAGGAGGAATCTGAACTCAGTCAAGCTTCCCAACTTAAGCACTGCTTTCTGACAGAAATTCTGAAATTGAGGACTTTCTTTAATTAGTGGAACGTTCTTGAAACTGGGAACAGAAGATTTCAGGAAAACATTACTACAGCAAGGAATTCCTTGATAACTATAAAGTTTCCTAAAATTCCAACAATGCTTATATATATTATAAAAGCAAAAAAAAAAATCCTTACGGACGAAGAAATAATGTAAAAAGAAAAATTCTCAACAACGAGTCTTAGTTTACATTGTTGAATGACAACGAGAACATCACGATTATCACGTCCACAAGATAAGGCTGTGGGGTTAAAATGGGACATCTGCACGGTTCTCAGTTGGAAATTAGAGAGACACTACGGCCGAATACTACGATTAACAAGCGGTCATCATGAAGCTCGCTATAGTCTGCGTTCTCCTTTCCGTCTTCTGTCTTAGCCAGGTATGTTAAAAAAAGGGGGAAATGTCTGGACGAGTTGCAATGCATGTATCCTCGGATTGATGACGTGTAAAAGGTAACATATATCATCATGATCAAGACACACACTCTTCGATAAAAACAATGTCTGCCATATTCCAATACAGATGTAGTTAATATGGTCAGTCTGTCTTTCCGGGGGATTTCTTTGTTCACTTAGCCACATGTTATGTATCCCCGTAGCAATTGCATTTATGTAAAAGTCTTTACTAAAAATAACAATAACGATTTAAACTTTTTCTATTATGAAACATTACCAAACAGAGTTTCTGTGATATACGGGTTAAATGAGGAACAGTGTTGTAACGGGCCGAGTTTCTATGTTATACGGGTTTAATGAGGAACAGTGATGTAACGGGCCGAGTTTCTATGTTATTAGGGTTTAATGGGGAACAGTGTTGTAACGGGCTGAGTTTCTGTGATATTCGGGTTTAATGAGGAAAAGTGTTGTTACTGGCTGAGTTTCTATGATATACGGATTTAATGAGAAACAGTGTTGTAACGGGCTGAGTTTCTGTGATATACGGGTTTAATGAGGAAAAGTGTTGTAACTGGCTGAGTTTCTATGTTATACGGGTTTAATGAGGAACAGTGATGTAACGGGCCGAGTTTCTATGTTATTCGGGTTTAATGGGGAACAGTGTTGTTACAGGTAGAGTTACTATGTTATACGGATTTAATGAGAAACAGTGATGTAACGGGCTGAGTTTCTGTGATATACGGGTTTAATGGGGAACAGTGTTGTAACGGGCTGAGTTTCTATGATATACGGATTTAATGAGAAACAGTGTTGTAACGGGCTGAGTTTCTATGTTATACGGGTTTAATGAGGAACAGTGATGTAACGGGCCGAGTTTCTATGTTATTCGGGTTTAATGGGGAACAGTGTTGTAACAGGTAGAGTTACTATGTTATACGGATTTAATGAGAAACAGTGATGTAACGGGCTGAGTTTCTGTGATATACGGGTTTGATGAGGACCATTGTTTGGTTTTAGGCCCTACTGTTTGACGACCTGTTTGGCCCCGGTCCCACCCACTGTGTGACGGACGGCGACTGTGGAGATGGCTGTTGTTTATTTGACGGACGTCGACACACGTGCTCTCACCGAACCATCGGGTACCTCCAACGCTGTCATCTCAACGGTCATGAATATTCATCGTGCGGTTGTACCGACGGTAGGTGTTCTTATTTACCCGATTACTAACGTTCCAACAATCACGCAGTTTATTTACCAGATTTGTGTTTTCTATAATTGCTTTTATAAAGTCATTATTTTATGCAGTATGGAAACTTCAAAATGATAAATGTTCCCGTTACCAGGCGTGTCGGTTGATCAATTATGCAATGCCCCTGCTTGACAAATTTCGTGAATTTTGAAAACTAGGGAAGCATATCTTTTTCGATTGAGGGAAAATAGACATGGCCAAAGCAAACTCCCTTGTAGAACACATGCACTGGGACAGAGACACTATGATACTAATTTCCTTCAATCTTTCGATTAAATATTAATTAAAAAAACTTATTAGCGACAGTGTGGACAATATAACTGGTTAAGGTTTAGGCTTTTCGCCTCTTGGTATTTAAACAATATACATGTTTTATTTGAAAGTTATTATTAAGCATTATGCACATAATGACGAATAAACTTTATAAAACAAATCTCCCTATTTTTCCATAAGTTATTTAAGTTTTTATTTTACTATTTAAAGAAATGGATATCATTCTTAAATATTGGAAATTTTACGCGGAATGATATAAATATTAAATGAAATGTTCGAAATGTTAAAACCGAAGTGTCTCCATCGTAATCGGGCTGTTCTGCTTCGACGAGGCTTTAAACATATGTCACTGTTTTCAAAGATCATCGGTTGCTATGTCCTGAAAAGACAAAGAGCTTACACTCCAGGATCGGAGAGAGAGAGATTGGGTGAAAAGATCAAACTTGTATGCTTCTTTTTACATTTGTGATGGAGTGTTATTTTGTATTAAGAACTCAATACTGTAACTATTGACAGAATGAATTTACATCATTGGTGCTGAATCGATTCCCGTAATAATTGTAATTATTTAGCACGAACCCATCCTACAGTCAAGATAGACTAGTCAAAATCTATCTCTACTAAAGTTTGACATAAAAGTAGCAAAATACAGGTTAGGTAGAAGTTTTAAAATGTCCGGGCGTTGTTAGATTTGTAACCCCCTTGCGAGGTTTGGCTTTGGTATTGTTGCGGCGCTTTTTGATGACTGTTCAATAAACATACTTAATAGACTTGACGACATTTTACTGAACTCGACGAGATGTTCGAGGAAATCCAGTCACTCGAATTTAAAAAAGAATTTGAAAACCATTTCTCTGTTTTTAGCGTCTTAGAAAAGTTTGTTTTGTTCATTACATGTCACCGTCTCAGGTTTGTCGATGCCTCGGAGAAAAATGGTTTGTGCCATTGTATGTATTAGAAGTAATGTAAAAGAGCAAAGTTGAACAAATTCCTACTATCTCGCCAGTGTTTTAGGGGACGGGTTGGTTGTCCCACTCTTTCGCCAGTGTTTTAGGGGACGAGTTGTCCCACTATTTCGCCAGTGTTTTAGGGGACGGGTTGGTTGTCCCACTATCTCGCCAGTGTTTTAGGGGACGGGTTGGTTGTCCCACTCTTTCGCCAGTGTTTTAGGGGACGAGTTGGCCCACTCTTTCGCCAGTGTTTTAGGGGACGAGGTGTCCCACTATTTCGCCAGTGTTTTAGGGGGCGGGTTGGTTGTCCCACTATTTCGACAGTGTTTTAGGGGACGGGTTGGTTGTCCCCCTCTTTCGCCAGTGTTTTAGGGGACGAGTTGGTTGTCTCACTCTCTCGCCAGTGTTTTAGGGGACGAGTTTTCCCACTATTTCGCCAGTGTTTTAGGGGGCGGGTTGGTTGTCCCACTATTTCGACAGTGTTTTAGGGGACGGGTTGGTTGTCCTACTATCTCGCCAGTGATTTAGGGGACGGGTTGGTTGTCCCACCATCTCGCCAGTGATTTAGGGGACGGGGTGGTTGTCCCACTATCTCGCCAGTGACTTAGGGGACGGGTTGGTTGTCCCACCATCTCGCCAGTGATTTAGGGGACGGGGTGGTTGTCCCACTATCTCGCCAGTGTTTGAGGGGACGGGTTGGTTGTCCCACTCTCTCGCCAGTGTTTTAGGGGACGAGTTGACCTTTTATTGCTATCCGTAAAGCGCCACTTAACAACTCCTTTCTATGTCAGAGCATATTTGTGAAAGCAGTGAAAATAACTTTTGTGTTGTTTTAGAACTACCTCCGGTTCATTACATGGAATATTTCTGGTTGATTATATAAGATATCGCCATCAGTAAGATATACCAAAAGTGTTTTTCGTTTCATCAGATATTTCTTACAGTTCGTTGAATCGTGTATAAATTCCTGTTTGCTGTATCGTATGTTACTTTCGGTATTCTGCATCAAATATCAATATCAGATATTGTTTTATCAGATATTGTGTATGGTTGTTGTACTAAACATTGCATCCATTTCACAATGACCGATATTGCTGTAGGTTCTTACAATTTAAAGTCGATTCCGGTTCGTTATACCTAGTTTGTTATTGGTTTGGTAAACCAGATATTTCTGTATCTTTCTAGTACACGAATGTCCGGATTGATGATTATTTTTGGTTCGTTGCTAGGTTGTGCAAAATTCACTTTTCGTGCCTTGTAAATAGCTGACTCGTTTTCACAGATCTAGACCTTCTTATCATGATCAGGCGATGTGTTGTGTAACACTCACAGGCCCGTACACTGATTCAGGTAACTGGGTCAAATGTCAAACCAATGCAGTGTTTGTTCGAACCATATCGTCTAAGCTGCTAAACTTTTTCTGATAAAACCTTGTGAATATATTTATGATAAACAGAGTGAAGAGTAGCAATTCCATGTTCTCGCCCTTCAGGTCAAGGTTATGTCCTGGGATCAAAGGTAAAACAATTGTAATTATTTTCCAGACCCTCACTTCCTATTGTTTTTACTTTTTTTTCTCTCAAAACTTAACATATACATGTATGTGCATCCCGAAGGGAAAGTATCGCGTAACAGTCTTCAATTCGTATTTTCAATGTCAAGGTCATGCAAATGAATAAAAATGTAAAATTAAGGAATAATGCTTGTCCAAGGCATCGGGAAAGACTCGAAGGTAAAATTAAGGTGTAACGCTGGTCGATATTTTAATTTAACAGCGTCTCCAGCTTTTCTTTTAAAAACAACTCCATTAATGTGTGTATCGAGGTTTATTTTCGATATCCTCGGCGTACATATTTTCTTTACGCCCCTGGAATATGTCATGAAAAAATTGAAGGCACTTGTGTTGCTAGTCAGAAAACCTTCACAAAATCAACCTTTGATTTCTTTTATTCAAGCGGGGGAATGTACATGTATGCATATTGAGAGGGACAACCTGTATTTCGGAGATATATTGAACACTCTCAGCCCTACAAATGGTCGAGGGCTACCCATAGTCAGTAACAGCCCAGTTTATACTCAAATAAGCATACATTCAGGGTTAGTGCTGCCTCATTTCCGATATAATGACGTCATATCCGTTTCCTCCCTCTAGGTTATCACTGCGAGTCTCTGGATCATCTGAGTCTCGCTATTGAGTCATCAAACATTCCAGCCGGATATGGGGTCTGTGAACATGGCGTCGGCAACCGAACAACGACAGCAGCGCCACTCATCGCCGTAGAACAGGGTTAAACGACGACATTTTGAAATCAATATCAATGTCTATTGAATCAAAGTTGTGAATAAATTGTTATCATATTCGTGTATGGGAGACACGAGTTTCTTACTATTATTATTCCTCTTTTTCTTCTTGTTTTTAACAAGAAACTTCTTGCCGGATAATTATGAAACGTCACATGAGTATGGATGGGCATGCTAAGATGTGTGAAGCGCGTACCAATTTCCGATCTGTCATAAATTGATTAACACACTTCTGGGTCATTGTACGTCAAGGTAATGCCAACGGCCCCCTCTTTGTTTGATTTTGCTCCGACAGTATGTAAAGGTACACTGTATTAGTGCATTAGTAATTTTTCCCAATGCATCATTTGTAATTACAGGGGCAGTATTAGAGACTTTGTTATTGGTCATTTTACTAATAGAAACTAAAACGATATTTAAAAGAGCAATCCATGTGTTTATTTGATAAAATCATATACATATCACACACAGGGATCCTCAGTTTTTCATATTAAATTTAATTAGACGTGTTTTTTCTATATGTCAATAGATGTCATTAAATACTTTTCGTTTTTATAGCATAAATCAAATTCTTTTCTTGTAATGCACGCTTACTGCAAAAGGTGAAAATTCGATTATCGGAGGTCGGATGATCCAGGTTATTATCGGGGGTCGGATGATCCAGGTTTACACGAATTAACGGGGGTCGGATGATCCAGGTTTACACGGATTATCGGGGGTCGGATGATCCAGATTTTCACTGATTATCGGGGGTAGTATGATCCAGATTTTCACTGATTATCGGGGGTAGTATGATCCAAGTTTACACGGATTACCGGGGGTCGGATGATCCAGATTTACACTGATTATCGGGGGTCGAATTAACACAGATGCAAAGATTTTCAGATGTCGGATTTATGATATAATACGAACTATCAGATTTACGAAGCTATATCGATAATCGGGGAAAAGGCTACACTGATAATCGAATTTAAGTTGGATTAACGATGTAACACGGATTGTCAGAGGTTAGAACAATGATTATCGGATTAACTGATTATCTGAGGTTGGATTACAAAGATAAACCGATTATCAGAGGTAACGAGACTACGGCGATTGTTCGATTAACGAGGTTATACCGATAATCGTATTAACATGGTATTAACGCATTTACAAGGTTAGAAGGATTGTCGGAAGCTCATTATCAGATAACGAGGTTACACCGATTATCGGATTAACATGGTTAGAAGGATTATAGGAAGCTCATTTAACGAGGTTATACCGATTATCGCATCAATCCGATTGCGCTGAATACAGGAAAATACACCGAGTATCGGGGTCTGAAAAAGAAAGTTCCACTGTCGTGTGTTTGTAGACTGTGGGGTCAGAAATGTCAATCTGGTGTACCAGTGACGTCACTGACTACATATGCACTGTCTAGGGTAGTGATATTCTTTGAAAATAAAGGGTGGATTGTTGTTTGGGTTTTCCACCAGTATTTCAGCCGGGTAGTCCCACTGCTCAAAACATCTTCCTTGGTTATAACAGACAGCGCCTTTGTTCCTGGAAAATAACATACTCAGTTGAACTATAAGTCAGATTATTCCTATAGGGACAGAATTTCAGCGATTGAGAATTTACTTCCGATGGCCAAGTGGTCATATGGACAAATCAATTTTTTTTAAATCATATAACTAAGTGATATTAAGAGTTAACAGATTATACCGGGACTTTTTGGAGTAGATCGCTTTTTTTTTCCAAAACAAAAACCGGCAAAGAACAATAGTTTTTTGGCATTAATAATTTCCGAAAAAAATACTTTGGTTAAACTTTGTGTTCAAACGTTCGTTTACTACGGGAGGACCATTACCTGTACAGTTTTTGAGTTATTACCTTATTCAGTATTATTTGCACTTTTACAAAACATAGCAATTTAATAGAAATATTAATTTTAATAATCATAAACATATACAATACTTTACGGGTAGAATACACGTAACTGTAACAGGTTAAACCTCCTCAGTTCTAAAGATTGTTTAATGATAGCCCAGCCTTCAATATGACTGATGGACATTCAGAAGATAAACGTATAGTACCTCAGTTCTAAGGACTGTTTAATGACTAGACCAGCCTTCAATATGACTGATGGACAATCAGAAGATAAACGTATAGTTCCTCAGTTTTCCTTCTTAAATAAGTTGGAATTTTATGTTATTCCTCAAATATATAAACTAATATTACTTGTTTATAAAATGTGGTATGTAGTCGAACTATTGGAAGAAAGAGATGACGAAATGATTGGGAAATAAGCTCGACCCTTTGTGTTTATATTTTTTTATCCCGAATCATGTGAGCTATTGCTATACACTTTTGTCCGGCGGTTAATTTTTCACATTGTAAACTTCAACTTGAACTTATATCAAGCGAATTTCACCGAAACTTAGTGGAATGATAAGAATATAGTCCTGACCAATTCCTGCTATTACAGAGCTTATATGAAATCAAATATGGCCACCGTGACAGCCTTTTTGAAAAACAAAATATTTTCAACTTCCAGTACAACCAGAATGATGTAAACATTATTATGATGTGTCATGGTAGTAGCACCCCTTAAGTGTCCGAGGGACCATTGGGACACAAATCTCTTGTGATGTTCATACCCTTAGGGTCTCCTTTTGATGTAGTTCTATGGGAATCGTTTAGATTTTTCCTACCAGTGAACATTTAAAATTCTTCTATTTATCATGAAAATAAATATACTTTATGTATCAGACCAACTAGACATGCATCCGTCTTTTTTAAACATTGGTGTTACATTGATTTTTCCTACAGATAATACAATGTAATAATAATAAACTTTTTCTGAGGATAAAACCTGTTAAGCAAAGCTTATCTTCCACAGGGTCCTCTTGTTAGTAAAATATCAGTTAGTAAAATTATAATGTCAACATTATCACAGACATAATAGTAAAACATTTTATATTTATCAATTGTTTGCCAGACATGTGTGTATTAGTATATATATCTTAAAAAGAGAGTACATGTAACAGCTTATAAGGATCAGGATTTGCCATTAAACATTTTTTAATTATGATAACATATAGGTAGTCGGTAAAATAATGATCACAATTACTATGCTAACAAAGAGTGGGAGTAAACAGGTTTATCACAGGAAACATAAAAGTTGTTTTGCACTAAAACCAACATGATTAATTTAAAAGGAATCACATAGACTCCCTAATGTTGCTACAGAAAGAGTGTTTAAAAGAAGTTACATTGGTAGATGCCCTTATTTGGTTTGGTAATTTGTTCGAAATTTGGCTGCCTGACACAACAAAATCATTTGCATAAAATTTGGTACGGTGTCTTGGTATCTGTAAAAGATGGGTTTGGCTTGATCTTGTACGTCTGGTATGAACATCAGACAATAATTCAATAGCATTGCACAGATATCCCGGGAATAAGATGATTTACACATTTGTACACCATTTTACCTCTTTTAAGTAGATACAAATCAGCTATTGGCAACCAGTTTATAACAGAAAACATGTCAACAGATGGAGTGTCATATGGAGCTTCTAGAATCAGCCTTGCTGCCCGCTTTGTGCTTTAAAAAGTTTTGGCATCACATTTTTTGGAACATCCGCTCCAAACTGTTGAGCAATAGAAAAAGTACGGAAATACACATGCATTAAAATATTTGATTCTGGCACTAGTGGGAAGGTACCTTTTAATTCTTCTCCACAAACCTAAGCCTTTATTGATTTTCCCTCAACACGTAGTTAACATGGTGTTCCCAACTGAGACATTTATCAACCTTTACACCGAGCAGTTAAACAGACTGTACCTGGTCAAACCTTTACAACAAGCAGTTAAACAGACTGTACCTTGTCAAACCTTTACATCGAGCAGTTAAACAGACTGTACCTGGTAAAACCTTTACACCGAGCAGTTAAACAGACTATACCTGGTCAAACCTTTACACCGAGCATTTAAACAGACTGTACCTAGTCAAACCTTTACACCCAGCAGTTAAACAGACTGTACCTGGTCAAGCCTTTACACCGAGCAGTTAAACAGACTGTACCTAGTCAAACCTTTACACCAAGCAGTTAAACTGACTGTACCTTGTCAAACCTTTACACCGAGCAGTTAAAGAGACTGTACCTGGTGAAACCTTTACACCGAGCAGTTAAACAGGCTGTACTTGGTCAAATCTTTACACCGAGCAGTTAGACAGACTGTACCTGGTCAAACCTTTACACCTATCAGTTAAACAGACTGTACCTGGTCAAATCTTTACACCGAGCAGTTAGACAGACTGTACCTGGTCAAACCTTTACACCCAGCAGTTAAACAGACTGTACCTGGTCAAATCTTTACACCAAGCAGTTAAACAGACTGTACCTGGTCAAACTTTTACACCGAGCAGTTAAACAGACTGTAACTGGTCAAACCTTTACACCGAGCAGTTAAAGAGACTGTACCTGGTGAAACCTTTACACCGAGCAGTTAAACAGGCTGTACTTGGTCAAATCTTTACACCGAGCAGTTAAACAGACTGTACCTTGTGAAGCCTTTACATCAAGCAGTTAAACAGACTGTACCTGGTCAAGCCTTTACACCGAGCAGTTAAACAGACTGTACCTAGTCAAACCTTTACACCAAGCAGTTAAACTGACTGTACCTTGTCAAACCTTTACACCGAGCAGTTAAAGAGACTGTACCTGGTGAAACCTTTACACCGAGCAGTTAAACAGGCTGTACTTGGTCAAATCTTTACACCGAGCAGTTAACCAGACTGTACCTGGTCAAACCTTTACAACAAGCAGTTAAACAGACTGTACCTTGTCAAACCTTTACATCGAGCAGTTAAACAGACTGTACCTGGTAAAACCTTTACACCGAGCAGTTAAACAGCCTGTACCTGGTCAAACCTTTACACCAAGCAGTTAAACAGACGGTACCTGGTCAAACCTTTACACCAAGCAGTTAAACAGACTGTACCTTGTCAAACCTTTACATCAAGCAGTTAAACAGACACACCGAGCAGTTAAACAGACTGTACCTAGTCGTTAACATGGTGTTCCCAACTGAGACATTTATCAACCT